TATCACAATATGCTCATTTTTTGAGAAGGACCTGTATATATGTATATTTATATATTATATATATATGTATAGAACCCCACACTCTTGCAATATTGTAAACAATGTTTGTAAACTCTATAAGAGACAGCACGTCATGATTTCAGCTCTCTGCCTCCGCTGCTCTCAGCCACCTGCAAGCGTTCTTGGCCACGCCCACTTCTCCGCTCTGCTCGGTGAACAGCTGATCAGCTGCAGCAGGAAGTTCATCCTGCAGTGTGGGCTGCATAAAGGTGCAGCAGGTGCTAAATAAATGAAAACTATTTATTTTAAATGAAAATGTCATGTGATGTCATTGGACCCGGTGTTACATCATACTCTGTGACCTGCAACAGTGCAGCTCCGCCCCCTACGGTCATACGGTGGTCACATGATATGACGTCACTACGGATACTCGACGTTACATTTGTAACCTCGATAGAGGTCCTAGCAATCGATGTGTAGATTACTGGAGTACTCTGTTACTGCCCTGTGTCATACATGATGCGTGTTGCTGTTTTTGTTGCATCCTTCACATTGAGCCCCCGTCAGGACGTGGTGACATGTGATTTGGGTTCCTCCACCCTCGTGTTCTCTCTTCTCAAAGCGTATCAGGTCTCTCTGTAAACGAGTCTTCGAGGCTCAATGGGAACTGACCAGTATAAATAAAGGTCTAATAATAAATAATAATAATAAACTGTGGCCACTGAAGAACCTGGAACAGGTAAGACGCTCTTTAAACATCTTTTTAAAAACACCTCCTTTATTTCCCCGAGTCTTTTAGACCTCCACCCTCTGGTCATGTGACCACCCAACCCCACCCCCACAATGATCCGAGGTTACCTTCCGTGGCGGAACCAGGTCCAGGGAGTCCAGCAGGAGCACGCAGAGGCCCTGCACGAAGAGCACGTAGTGAGCGTGCTCCCAGAGCAGCAGGAAGGTGAAGGTGCTGACGCTCATGGTGAGGTAGCAGAACATCTGCACACAAACAGAACCGGTACCTTTAGATCCAGGTGGACCGACGGGTCAGAACACTCAGGTTCTGGTTTAACTTCAAACTCCAAACGCAGAACAGAACCGTTAGGCAGGACCAGGACGTGGAGCCGGACTCTGGAGCTGCTGAAACATCAAAACCTGGTCCACAGAAAGACTTTGGACCGGAGGAGGAACCACAAACCTCAGCAGCAGAACCAGTGTTGCTCAGGAACCCGGTCAGAGCCGCCACCTGACAGGAGAAGTACGGCAGGGCCCAGTTGGCCCGCAGAGGAACCGCCTGGTCCACTCTGGTCGTGTCCTGCCTGTGGAGCAAACGGAGACCGTTTGGACCTCGGTACGGATCATGACGCAGCCGGTCCCATGGACTCCTGCTCACCTGTTGATCAGGTACCAGGACACGGCCAACAGCCCGGACACCCAGGTCCCGCTCAGAACCCAGCTGCACACGAACAGGGCCGTGACGTAGAACGCCTGCAGGCCCAGAACCGTCCCGATGTAGAAGTAGACCGGTTCCACGTAGTCCTGAGTTAACAGAAGAGCAGAACTCTGGATCATCCAGCCATCAGAAACGGGCCGACGCAGAACATATTCCACGAGCAGAACCAGAACCTCCGCTCACCTGGCAGCCCGTCGCTCTGTAGATGAAGCTGGAGATGAGCTCCGGGTACAGAAACAAACGCTCCACGGCGTTCAGCGTCTCGCCCGAGACCGTCCGGTTGTCCAGCAGCAGCTCGGAAAACCCTGCAACAAAACGCCAAGCGTGCTGGATCAGCGCCGGCCGTCGGATCAGGGCGCAGGACATCCACGGCGAGCCGGCTCGTACCTCTGTCGAAGGACGGCGCCGCCGACATGCGCTTGAAGAAATGGAAGTAGAAGCCGCTGCCGCCCTGGAAGGAGAGCTCCCGCTGCAGCTCCTGACACGCCGAGGAGACACAAGGAGGACATCTCAGACACAAGGAGGACATCTCAGACACAAGGAGGACATCTCAGACAAGGAGGACATCTCAGACAAGGAGGACATCTCAGACACAAGGAGGACATCCCAGACACAAGGAGGACATCTCAGACACAAGGAGGACATCTCAGAGGAGACGCTGCTGCTGGGACCTTCTCCCTCACTCACATCCTCAAGCATAAACCGGACCGGCTTTCACAACAATCTGCCGTTTGAAATGTTTCAAGTTTAACTTCTGTAGCGCCCACTGAGTAACTCAGGACCCAACCTTTGGAGACCGAGGACGTCGAACCGGGTCGCACCAGAACCAAATGAAAATGTACTGAAAAAGATTTAAACTTGATTTTTAGACGTAGAATAACTCTCGTCTTCCATTTTTACTGCGTTATTTAGAACAAACCTTGATTTTAGGTTAAAGACAATGATTTTGTCCATTTGTCTGATAAAATAATTGACCTTTATGACCTTTATGACCTTTATGACCTTTACGAAGCAGCACGGTTCTCCAGCAGTTTACTGAAGAACTCACGACAAAGCTGCAGTTTTTAAAACGATCGACAAAATGAACTAAATCTGTCTGGGATTCGCTGGACGCTTGGTTTAAAAGATCATCTGCGGGACCGATGAAATGGTTTCAAGGACGTTTTGGGCCCGTGGGCCATCAGTTTGACACGCGTGCTTCAAGCTGAAAAACACCAACGTTTGGACCCGAGAGGTCATCACACTTTAATCTGAAGTTTCTGAGGTAAAAAAACTTCTGAAAACAGTTCAGTCTTCCTGTGACCCGTTCAGACTCAGAGCGATGGTTCTGAAGTCCGAGCTGGAGGTCCAAACAGGACTCGGCTGACGTGTACGGGGACAGTCGTGTCCGTTTCAGTGAAGTCAGCGCACGAGCACAGAAATGAGGCTCTCTTACAAGGATCAACAGGAAGCACTACCCACCTGCCTGGTGGAAAACCAGAACTTCCTGTCGTGATACGCAGACAGGTACGCGGCGTAAAGCATCCCACAAGCCACCGCTGCCAGGACTCCAAAGAACCCCCTCACCAGAACCTGCAGGAACCCAACTGAAGAACCAGAACAACTTTATTCCAGCAGACACAGAACGAGTGTTTATCCACAAATTCAAACTGTAGTTTTTAGATTCGTCATGAAGGTTGTGGTGAACGTGCAGAAGATTTTCAGGTTCAGTTGTTTTTATTAAATAACCGTAAACATTTCAAGTTCTCTACTGAATCAAATCTGTTCTCGTGAATCAAACTGCCGGATTTTGGAATGAAGTGAATAAAAACTTGAACTAGCAGCCTGTTGGGAACAAGTTCAAACATCGCTCAGACAGGAAGTGAACAGCGAGAAGACAAATGGAATTCTGGGTATTTATGGTCAGAGCAGATTCTTCTGGTTTCGACCCACCGGTTAGAAAAAGTTTATTTTAGGAGACAGTTCTGTCAAGTTCAGCTGCAGAACAGCAGAACAAAGATCCACTTTTAGAGGTCAGAGGTCAAAACGTTCAGCTGAAACTGTTCAAGAACCAAACTGAGAGAAGCATCAGCCAAAGTTCAAAGAAAACCTGTGAGAGAGGTCAGGAGAACATGTGATCCAGATGACAGGAGTCTGGACCAGTTTGATAGATACAGAACTAAAAACCAGAAGGTCACAAACATCACAAACAAGAA